GTGTGGGTGTCTATTCAGTACAGACGATCTGTTGACAGCCTGAAGAGAATAAAAAGTGAAAAAAAGGAGAATTCTGCTTGCAGAATTGGGCTGGAATATTCATTTCTCCTGTCCTTGCACTGAGACTTACCCCACTGCACTGAGTTTTTAGACCTCTAGGTTAAAACTAGAACTGCAAGCATTTCCTAGGTCTTATGGAAGAATCAGTTCATAACCACATATCCTAATTCTTCAAATTAATTATCTGTATTTCTATCTATCTATCTATCTATCTACCTACCTATCTACCTACCTGCCTGCCTATCATCTATCTATCTAATCAATTTCGCATTCTGTTTTCTGGAGAATCTTAGTAACACTAACCAATCATTTTCCTCTTGAAATTCTTTCTACCTTTATCCCTGACACTATTCTAGTTTGGAGGCTCTGTTTCTCTACAGGAATATTCTTTATATCCTTAGGCTCTGCTTCCTTCCCTTACCATCTAGGCATTGGTTAATGCTATTTCTCACTCTGCAACCTATATGATAATGATTCCAAATTCTTTGTCTCCATCTCTAAACTTAGCCATTGATACAAGAATAAGATACTGAATAAGAAACATGTCAGTAATCACAGGGCTTTCACATATAAGTATTTAATTTCTATTGTTCTGATTGCCCAAATATTTCTGGAATTTATCTTTCCTTCTATATTGTTGTTAAAGCTGCCATATTTCTTGTTTCCTTTTATTCCCAAGTGTTAATGTGGTATGTTCCTAGCCAATTCTCTTTCCTGCTAGTTCAGGTTTCAGTTTATCTTCTATAGGGCTTTCCAGAGACAATGCAGATTACCTTACTCTTTTGAGCAAAATTCATTGGTGGCTCTTCACTGATTTAGGATCATACTCCAAATTCTTTTATATAGCATTTTATGCCCCTTAAAATGATAGGCATCTCACACTTTCACTTGTGGCTTGATACACTGTAGGGTCTTCCTCTTCCACCTTTTTTGTAGAGTGGAGATTAAACCCTATTTCAGGAAAATGTATTGTAAGATCCCTCCCTAAAAAAGAATCAAATATTCCCAAAGAAAAGATACCCAAACTGAGAGTTCTTAAGGAAATTACCTTACGGTAAGTCTGTTTTAGTCCACTTGTGTTGTTCTACTGTAACAAAATCTTCAGATTGGGTAATTTATAAGGAACAGAAATTTATTTTCTCACAGTTCTGGGTTCTGACAAATCCAGGAGCAATGCCTTGCGGGATATCCTTTCTAGTGAGGGCTGCTGTCTCCTTTCAGGATGGAATATTGTTGCTGCCTTCTCCCAGGGAGGAGAAATGCTATGTCTTCACATGATAAGGGGTAAGTGAGTCAAATGGTGTGTGAAATATCTTATCTAAAGTCTTGATTGCAATTATGAAAGAGCACCATCATGGTCCTTGATGGTCCCCTAAAACTATCAGTGTAAACACCAGAAGCTCAGAGAGGATACATTTAAGCATAGCGAAGGCTTCAGTGTCTAAGATCTGCTGTTCAATAACTTTCAGTTAATTTCCTATTGGCTTACTCTTAAATATGAATAGACAGCCATGTATCATGGGTCTTTGAGAGAATTCTCTAACAGCAATAAATAAATAGAATAAAAGCATAAGAAGGCATTTAGAAAATCTATTATTACTGTTCCCTGAGAAACGAGATCGCTTTAGAACAAAGAAGAGAATTCTATTGAAAAGTAACAATGGGAGACAAAGAGCTCTTAAAAATTAAAAATAGAACAGCTGATGAAAACAAATCAATAAAAGAAAAAGGGAGAGATTCTGTTTTGTGTTTCAAATATGCCACTTTTGATTGTGTTTAGCAGCTAATGAATTAAATACCTCATGTAAGAAACCCTCTTTGAAAAATGTCTAAGTATTTCAGACATCACTAAGTCATTTTGCCAGCAAAACAAGTAAGAAAGAGATAATAGGTCAAATAACTATTAAAAATATTATAGTAAATCCACTAAGATAATAAGAAGTGAAATCACTGTTTTTTAGTTAAATAATGGCAGTAAGTTAGGGAAAAACAAAACACTTTATTTCAAAGTGAGAACAATGGAAATACTAACATTTGTGTATGCCAATATACTTAGCAAGCTATTTATGATAATTGAATAGAGCAGTAGGGCAGATATCTTGGATTTTTTCCAGTATCCCACAACAAATCTTTACCAGTGTCTAACTATGTGTTAACTTCTGTGCAAATGATTGAGACAAAAAGATGGGGAAATAAACAACTATTCACTGTACAAGACTACTGATTCAGTCCCCTCCTGAGCCCTACGTTCTGACTTCTGGATACTTTGCTTAAGCATGTAGTTTAACTCTGGAGCCTTTGGATTTGGTTTCTCCAGAAGATAAATCTCCTGCCTTTTAGTGAGGAGTGAATGGTGAGAGTTGGGTGGGCAAGTGATAACCACCAAGCTGTAAGGGTCACAGGAAAAGGTGCACAGAGGGTTTCAGTGAGCACCTCTGGGTTCAGCCATACACCCTTTACTAAGGAGTTCTACTCCACAATATTCTGATGTTCCAAATCTGAGTCTTTCTGGGGTCAGTAAGGCCAACTGACTTGTTTTTCAATGGTAGCTTCTTTTACAGAACACTCAAATTATAATTTCTTTCATATGTCTATCTTTAAAAACTTACTGAACTCTCAACTTTTGTGTTTTTTTTTTTTTTTTGGTCCTATTTGTTTCCTCCTGTGAGTTCTATTGTTTACTTTTTAATTCCTAAATTTTTATTTGGGGGGGACTTCTTGACATTATTTCAAATAAATTTGTTGTCCTGAACAAATTCATTTTAAATTCATAAATTCATTATGCTTTTATTTGTCAGGTTTTTTTGGCATATACATTAGCTATCCATTTCATGGACACCCTGATTCTTTTTCCTCTAAGGCAAGCATCTTCCATTTGTCCTTCCTGGACACTAAAAATGCAATGAAGTATGTTGAGGACAACATCAGGCCCTGCTTCTGTAGAACGCAACCTTCAGGTGGACTGGAAACTAGCTTTTTTTAGGAACTTTAGGGAAAAAAAAAAAAACCTAATTGAAAGTACATCATTCTCCTGTTATAAGTGAGTTTTGCTTTGCATGGTTTGAATTAAACCGTGGTCTGAGTTTTAAACTGCAATGTATTGTGGGTGGTCTGAGGAAGGCTCACGCTGCCCTGCCCTGTCCTTGCTGTACCCTGGTCACCACTTTGCCCAGTGTATGTATGCTGTGTAATCCCTACTTGTTACTCAGCAGTCTCTGTTCTCAGATACACTATTACAGTAAAGGCAGCGCTCATTTATAGTGCTTGGTAAGTGAGTGCTTTCAGGCATGCACTGGGATTCTTGGAACAGATCTCCTGTGGCTGAGGGGGAGCTTCTTTATAACTAACAGTAAAATTATTCTGTACAAGCAGGCTCTTTTCTCTAGAGTTCAAAGAATTATTTTCATGTAAAGATAAAACAATACAAGCTTTAAAATTTTTGAAGTGCCAAATTTCCACTTGACCTTCTTTTTAATGTCTAACTTTACTAAGGAGTTCTTTTTCTCTTTTCTTTCTATACAGATCTAAAAAGCCTCTTTCAATCTCCAGATTTTGTTTTCTATTTTAGTTACTTATCGTCCATGCATGGATCAGTCTACGCTTTTGATGAGAAGAGCAAAACATCTATTCTTCAGTGTAGTCTTTCTTGTCTTACTCCAACCCATTCTTCACGTTGCCACCATAATGACGGTTTAAAACAGGTATAATTATAATCCTACGGCAGACTGCTACCTTGAAATCACCCTTAGCTGGCAAAGGTTAGAAGTGTGTGGATCTTTCGAGGTAAAGACCCCAAAATGTTTTTAGTATTTTGTTGAGGAGGAGAAGTCTAGGTATTTTATCATATCCTTGAAGGCATCTGTGCCATCCCCTACCATTAAAAATTACTCTATATAGGGTTAAACTGATAAATAATCATGAAAATAGCTGATGATCTCAATGCACATACCTACAGAAATTCTTTGCTTTTCTGGGAACGATGTCACTAGAAACCCGAATGGCATCTGTGAGCAATTGCTATTCTCTTCTCTCTACATAAAGAGGGAAAAAGAATAATTGTCATTGAAATGCCTGTCAAAATGAATTACAAATATATTCTTTAGAAAACAGATCGTTAAAATAGACCAGGTATAAATATATTTTGCATATCACAAACATGCCTAAATAAAGGAAAGCTCTGGACGGGCAGATAGCTGTTCTTCAATTACATATGACCAATGTGGCATTTTTGATATAGTAGTCATTCAAATGTGTGGAAATGCCATACCTGCTTGTTTAATTTGGGGTCACTGCTTTTAAATGCAGTCATTGAGTAGAAGAAATTTCTACCCTACTCTGAGTAATCATACTTTGACTTTTTCCTATTTGTGCAATTATAAAGATTTCACCTCATTTAACACTTCTATGTTTATGCATATGAATATTTACTGGGAAATAGGCCTGGGTATTAAAAAAAGTCATTTAGCTTTCTTGACTTCATCAGCTTGTTTGTGGAGAGGCTATATCACTAACACACAAGCTACAAATCAAAGAGATGTGACACCTTTTTATATTATCAGGCAACATAGTGAGGAAAAAAATGAAATGGAGTTTGTGAACTTTATTACTGAAGGTGACAAGTTAATATGTGGGTGATGGTGTGAAGCTCCCAAATGGGATTTGTTACATCCTCAGAACTGAGTAAAATATCTAAAGGGAAAAAGGATCTTCCACGCCATAGACAAACTCATGGGCTGTATTGACAAAGTTAGATTGGAAACTTACAAGTCCGCAGTCATTTGCAGACCATAAAGTGTGTGAATTGGGGCACAGGGAGAGACTGAGTATGCATGATGAATTTTAATGACTTAAAAGTTTCTTGTATTAATTTTAACATAGGAAGGCTAATGAGCTAAGGAAGCTATCAGTCTTTCACACATCTTTTTTTCCCCCTACAAAGGAGAGTGAATGGTTGTTTTGAAAGCATCATAGGGCAGGGAGCCAAAAAAAGAGAATCAAAGGAAAATGATTTTATAGTTGTTGCTATTCCTAAGAATATCTGCATTCTTGCCAGCATTTGTGTTACACAGGAAGATGTGGCTAGAAATTCCTGATCTCTGCACTGAGGGGCTGGTGGTCATTTGGTGAGATGTGCTTATGAATAGGACAGGCCTGTTCCAGGTGGCATCGGTGGGGCTGCTCCAAGTCCTAGAACACTCATAATTCAAGGCTGTGCACTGCTTGTTTTGCACATAAGACAGGTGAGTTATGTTACTTGCTGGGAAGACAGAGGGGAGGAGATGAGTTATCTCAAGTGTTGATTCATTATTATCTCCTTTAGTATTGACATAATGTCAGAAGAAGATCATTGAACTAGAAACCACTAAGTCATTAGATTCAACTTGTCTGTGGGAGACTTGTCTGTACTGCTGTGCTAGATCAGGTAGTGAAAATGAAATCCAAATAAACTATAACCAATTGTCTGAGTAAATGAGCAAACCATTTCTGTTGTGTCCAGATGAATGATTTTTCTATGCTAATTTGGAAGAAATATGCACCCTGTATTCTCCTCTCATATTTTCATAGGAGACTTAGAAACTATTGAAATTCTTTTTGAAAACCAATATTGAAGATCACAATGTTATTTTTAAATGACTATTCTGTTTAAATTTTTTTATTTTACCTTTGTTATGTCACAGATATAAAATATTTTGTTCCTCTTTGGAAATGCTAAAATAAGATTATAGCTGTCCACTTGGTCTAGAATTTTTTTTGGGAGATAGTGCAGTGTTATTCTAAAGTAACGCCGTATATGCTAGATTAAACCATTCATTTTAAAAATAATTTTTCTTAGTAATGAACTTGTACTAACAGGTTTCTATTGTATTAATTAGTGAGCAAGGCAACATTAAAAGGGACATTTAATGGAATTTTGAAAAATATTTGTGTGCCTGTTGTATGTCAAATTCCATGACAGACATGGAGGAGAAAAAGACAAGTACTATAACAACCAAGAAAAGAAGTAAAAATATTTAACAAACAACTTTAACTCAGCAAAAGTATTGCGATAAAGAATTTGGTTCTGTGATTTCAACACTGTAGGTTTCTGATTCTGTTAATCTTATCTGATTTTTTTTTATTTAGTGAAGAAATACTGCCTTTGTACATCATTGGAAATTGCTATTTATCAATTTGTCATTTATTGGGTAGTTTGAGTAGATACTGCCTGACAGACAGTATTGAGGGAAAATAAAACTATTTTTAGCGGAGTCCCCTTTGACTTGCAAACACCTGTGATATTCATAGTTTAGTGCATGATGCAAACTTAGCCACCTATCTATCTGTTCTTTCTTTCTTTTTTTTTTTTTTACTTTTATTAGTATCTGTTTGCAATACATAATGATTGCAATCATAGTAGTGTATTGGCACATGAACATAACACATTTTAATTCCCCCGTCCCCCTCAATCTAATCTTTCATTGAAGGACTAAGCAGTTGATTTCTGTAAGATCTAGTACTAATGGAAGCGCTCCCTGAGATTCATTTTGTTACTCTATTTCTTATTCCTTTTATTACTAAATGAAAATATTTACTGGGTACAAACTGAATTGTCCTCAGGTTTTCAGAAAAGGTATTATGCCTAACCCTTTCATTTGCTCCTTATCCCAAAGGTGAATTTTTCATTGTCAGAGACTTTTTTTTTTTTGTTTGTTTTTTTTTTTTTTTGGTACTGGGGATCAAACTCACGACCTTGCGCTTCTCAGGCAGGCACTTTATGCTGCTGAACTAAGTTCCCAGCCCATGTTGGAGACATTTTAAATTTTATTTTTCCTGTAACATCATGATGTGAAATCTAGCATACTATTATTCTTTGTTCCGAGTGATTTTAGTCTGTTTTGTTTTGTTTGATTTCAACATACATGGAGGTATAGACAGCTATTTTGAAGAGAATGACAGACATTATCATGGCAACCGTAGTTGATCCCTATTGTCTGGTTTTGAAGGCCTATAATGCCTTCATCATTCTGATCAGTTTAATACTATTTTGTTTTGTATGAATTGATTGTGTGTGAAGATATGGACAACTATTTGGAAGAAAACAAGAGACAATATGATAGACAGTGATCATCTCCGGTTGTCTTGCTTTGAAATCTATGTCTCTTACATTGTTATCTTATGATCTGTTTTCTTCTGTTTTGTTATATTTAATTTTACCCTGTTTAAAAATACAATTTAAAAAAAGTTTTACTTTTCAATCACATAGAAATAATCAGTCGTGCACTAAAACTCAAAAAGTTCCTCAGTTTGAGAACTCTGAAGCAAAAGGCAAGAACAGGAGAGTTGGAATGCTGCACACTCTTCTCTAGGTGCTGCACATATATTTTATTTATTTATGTCTTTGGCATTAAGAGCTGGCACTCACGTCCAAAGCTTGCTTGAAGACTTTCTCCACAGTCACTTTCCTAAAATCCACAAGGAAAGTTCTTAGTCTTCGCCAACTTGCCATAACATGTAGTCATTTTGCTCTATTATGGTCTGACAGTACGGGGCCTCTCTTTGGTCCTAGCCTCGGACCCTCCCCGCTTCTCTCTCTGAGCCTGAAGTACCTCATCCTCCTGCCTGACCCGTTAAATGACATTAAGTGGGAAACCCTGGCATATGCTGTCCTCAGGGAAGATAAGATAATATTGACTTAACGGAGGGCACTGTGATGTCAGAGAGAGGCACCACAGTGAAACCTTGGATATGGAGAGGGATCTCACTTTGAGAAACTTGAAGTTTGCTGAAACTGTACACAACTTGTGTTCTTTTGGTTAATCCTCCATGGTACTTGAGTGACAGACAGAAAATAACTTGAAAGGATGGAAATTGTGTGATCTGAATAAATAAGATTTTAAACCTCAGTTTTTGATACAGATTTCAGCTGCATGATATTCTAAGGCTGAGTAATTTTTCAGGTCATTTTCTTTGTAAGTATGCTCTTTTCCAAGTTTTAAAAATAAACTTATCCTGAATAAAGTCTTTCTCCTATGAGCAGAGCTCAGACAGTTTAGTTATCTTAACTGTGAAGAACTGATAGAATTCTCAGTTTCTGTGCAGAATATTTAAAAATGCATAAAGCAAAATTTTATCACCTGAAGTACATTGTGTTTAAAAGCATGCGATCAGGCCTGCCAAATTGTCTTTTGCCTTGGAGACCTGGAATAATTATTGCAAGTGCAGACAACACTAGGCCTCTTTTGCAGGCAGATTTTTGTGAGTCCATGCAGGACTTTTGCTCAGGAAACCGTAGTGGAGCTAAATGAAATTGCTGTGGTGAGGCCAGAGGAGGGCACCAAATCATCATGATTGATAGAACAGGATGCCTGAACATTTGCAGGAAGCACGGGCACCAGGCCTGTGAAAGCTGTGTGCTTTATGAACATTTTGGGTGGAAACCATATTGTAGTCTTTCTGTTTACTGAATCACCATTAACCCGGGAACTAGCACCCCAGCTTCAGGGGCCGCTGACATGCTCCAGGAGTGGGAAAGCAGCAACCGGCAGGCTCTGTGCTTGCCAACATGCCAGGAAGCCCTTACCCTCCTTCCTGCACTTTTCTTATCTCCCTTTTTCTCCTGTTTCCTAATTTCACTCAACCTATGGGGAAAGGACCCAGACTGCCCTGTCCTTACAAGGCAGGAATGCGGGGATGGACGTTTCTCTCTAAGGAGGTGAAGTTATTGGCAGTTACTCAGACTTAATTGTTCTTGATGAGTAGCTGAAAAATTTATTTGGTCTTCAGGAAAAGGGGATGCACTGGACACAACTTAATGTGATTCTTCATTCTTGACTGTTCACATAAATTGGGTTCCTTGGCCATCTTTCAAAGCGGCTTTTCTAAACTGAAGAGATCTTTTGACAGTGTTTTACCACCATTGTATAAAAAAGTAGGTTTTCATGTTTGTTGCATGTCCTTACTTAGACTGGTTCTGTCCAGCGCAGGGGCCAAGGGCCAGAATAAAGAATACGGATGTCCAGGTAAGGAGGATCTGGGTATACCTTGTTCTTTGCCTATAAGTGATGGATTCTAAGTCTTTTGGCAAATACATATGAACACCAAAAGTGATTAACTATGGTCATGTAGAACTCAAGACTTATTTAAGCTCCAAAGTCTCAGCTGTCATTTTATTTCTCCTTTTCAACTTACTGTATAGTTTAGGGATATTTCAAGATATCCTTAGACTATTTCTTTTTACAAGGTGAATTCTGTGCATTTTTTCCCATCATGAGGGTGTGTGACAAGCAAATCAGTGTACATGGAACAGCTCTGACTGAGAGAGAGACAGAGAGAGAAAGAGAGAGAGAGAGACAGAGAGAGACAGAGAGAGAGACAGAGAGAGAGAGACAGAGAGACAGAGAGAGAGAGAGAGTCTGAGGGTTCTCCGAAATGTTGGTCCCTTTATATGCCAACTTTTATTTTTCCAGCACTAAGATTTGGACCCAGGCCTTGGCACTGAGTGCTACCCCTTTTTTAAAATTCTGAGACAGGTCTTGGAAAGTCAGTAAATTGCCCAGGCTGGGCTTGAACTTGTGATCCTCCTCCCTCAGGCTCCCTGAGTGCTAGAGTTACAGGAATACACCGCCAAAATATACCAGTCTTTTAATGCAGTGTTTAAGAACTAAGATTTTGGAGCTAAACTGCTTGCTTATGAATTCAGATCCTGTCACTTATTAGCTGAATGATGCTGGCAAGTTAGTTTCTAAGTGTCTCAGTTTTCTTACCTGAAAAGTAGAGAAATAACAGTATGTTAGGGTATTGTGAACATTAAATGGTTTATTATTTGTGAATTGTTTAGACTCGATGCTCAATTCAGTATTTCATAAATACAAGATAAATAAGTGTTTAGGATGTTGGAAAACCTACTATGCCAGTCCTATGAAGTTTTCATTTCTCCAAGTGTCTTTTACGTGGTGTGTGTTGACTTGTCTCCAGTGCTAAACTCTCTGGCTGGTATTTTAGGACTGTGCTGCTATCCCTTATGCTGATAGAAACCACTCAGAGAGAAGAAATGAATAAGTAAATTCTCGTAGGAAGATCATATTACAATTAACTTCAACATAATTTATTTAACAAATATTTGTATAGCACTTACTGCGTGCTAGACTGTTTTAACACCACACAAATATTAACTCATTTAATCCTCATTATAACAGAAAATACTTGCAGAATTTCAATTAACTAATGTGATAAAACACTCTAGTCCAGTGTCTGACATGCA